TAGTGCGGCTTGAGCCAAAATTGGGGCAGCTCCAGTAGCACTTGCTGCTGCACCTGCTAATTGACCACCACCAATACTTGGTCCATAAGCAAAACATAAATTATGTCTATCCACCTATAATATACAATATTTATTATAAATATAATATGCTTTTAATTATGTTTACATATTATTTTTATGTAACAAAATATTTTAACATCATACCAAATGTTTTACTACAAGATATAATAGTCCAAAGGGTGTAATTAATGGACAAGCCAAACTATATACTGTTGTCATAGTAAAAACTAAAAGTAACCAGGCATAATGAGCACCTAATGGAAATTCCCATAATACTGCTTTTCTAACATGTATTCTTTCTGCTTTACTACGTGCTACACATAATCTGAAGGTATATAATGCTAATTCTGGAAATCTGACTAATTCCAATCCACTTCCAAGTAGAGCTGCAGTAATTACATAATTTACAAATAAAGCACCCTAAAAAAACAAAAATTTTACATTTTTATGATTGTAAATTATATTTTATTAGTTCTATCATACCTTATCAGGTAAAAACACACAATCCCATCTTCCTGTGTCATTTGTTACATTTACAGTCCATTCCAAAAATGCTTGTGCACTTGTTAGACCTAAACTAGGTAATATAAGAACCATTAGTAACAAAAGAAGTAAGGTTTTCGTCATTACTGCTCGATTTAGACTACTTCTAGTCCAATGTCTAACTAATGATTCACTTCTTGATACTAATACAGGCATTAAAGCAGCCACACTAACTAACAATACAGTTGGAAGAAAATATGAGACTATTGGACTAAGATTCATAATTTTTCCTGTAATTGGTAATTTATTCAATGCAGTTACTATTACCTGAAAATGTTATGAGAATATAAAAAAATTTAGTAAAAAAAACAAAATAAAAATTATAACTATTTTAATTAAAAGAAGACTTACAGCTGGTGTAGTAAGAAAAAATAATATAATGCCCAATGCAAAATTTATTAAAACAGCATTTAGATACCAACATGGCCTTGGTATACTTAGATTTTCCCAGAAAATATCAGAAGGTGTAGGTGCATAATCTACAATCCATGTTAAACTAGGCAAAGAACGTAAGTGTTTTCGCATAACTTTAGCTGCACCAGGTGTACCTTATTAATATTATTATTATTATTGATAATGAAAATTGTTTTATATTGTGAAATAAAATAATATTCAATAATTATTTTGAAATTGTTTATAATTGATTTTGAATAAAATTTAACATAATTTTGATGTCATATATATATATATATATATATATATATATCTTATAAAATCATGATAAAATAATAACTGACCTAGAGTCATAAAAGCTACTCCAAGAGGTCTACTTAGCGCTACTTTTTTTTCTTCTTCAACTAATGCAGTCAATCGCATTTCTTCATTTGCATAAAATTCTCGAGCATCAACTTTCTGTACAAAAAGAAATTGAAATTTTATAAATCTTTAATTATTATAATAATTTTTTAAAAGAATTACATACATTTTTACAACAACAACCTATCACTTGACCACATGGATATGGATACATTTGTAATGGTTCTCTCTTTTTTGCATAATTTTCACAATATAAACGCGCTTGTTCGGCACAATCTCTTTCTACATTTAGTGCCGAAAGTCGTTTAATATCATAAGCTAATGTAATATCTTCTACTGTTAAAGTAGGAAAAGCTTGTCTACACAAAACAATATTATAAAAAAAGTAAAATAAATTAAACAATATTTATTATTATATATTATAAAATTAAATTTATATACTTGAAATAATCAGTAAGACTTTGAATATAGCATTGATGTTTTGGTATTTCTGTAATTAATAATGTTCTAGCTGCCAATTCACCACCATGCCTGGAATCTCGTACCTTTTCAATGTTATTATTATTTCAATCAAAAATTAAAAATAATTTTATAACTTAAATTTATTTATTCATAATTAAATGAAATGAATACCTTTTTCAAAAAATGTCTCATAATGTATGCACCAATTGGTAAATAGCATAAAATTAAAATTGTATGCACCCAAATCCACGGAGACATTGGATCTAAATTTGATAATGTTGTATGACCAAATGTTGCTTCATCACCTTGCATATTACCATGAAAATTAATTGGTAAAGCTATACATAATGATACAATAACCATTAAGCATGTTAAAATGATCAAATGACGTTCAAATGATATATAAAGCAAACCATCTGGGCCTGCTCGTTTTAATAATTCTTCATCACTAAAATTAAAGTTATGCAATATAATACATATATATCAAATATATCATTTTTATTAAAATATGTTATATATATCACAATCTTAATATATTTTAAATAGTTATTTACCTAACTTTAAATGCAATAATAATCCATGATAAGAAACCTCTATCAACTTGAGAAATTTGGGAATTAACAGAATTTTCTATACATATTGCTTCTGTATCTCTACCTTCATTATCTCCATAAAATAATTCCACCCATCGCTCATCTGTTTTATTTAATAATGCAAGACGTCCATAATTCCATGCTTTTTTACGTAATAAACCAAACAAGATAACAAGGATCTGTTAAGTTATATTATAATATTTAAAAAAAATTATTATATATAAAAATATGTACATAGGATATA